TTAGTTCTATAAATATAACTCTATTATTATAGGATACACATCATGAAGTAAAAACAGAAGGACCCAAGAAAACAGATAAAAAGACAGTAGCTGTTAAACCTCAGAAAAATAAATTCTGGAAATGAAAGGAAATTGTATTTGTGATAGCTATGTTTGTAGAATGGTTTAATAAATTTAACAGAGTAACTATGTCAGATCAGTCATAGTTAATTTGTACATTGTGCTTTACTGGTACAAAATATTAGCAGAAAACTAAGCAAGTGTGATATGAAAGTATTATCTATGTAATATGTATACAAGTTGCTATGTAATTTATATAGGTTGATATGTGATTTATATAGGTTGCTGTGTAATTTGCGTAGGTTGCTATGTGATTTATATAGGTTGCGATGTAATTTATATAGGTTGCTATGTAAACTGTGTAATTTATATAGGTTGCTATGTGATTTATATAGGTTGCTATGTGATTTATATAGGTTGCTGTGTGATTTATATAGGTTGCTATGTGATTTGTATATAGGTTGCTATGTGATTTATATAGGTTGCTGTGTGATTTATATAGGTTGCTATGTGATTTATATAGGTTGCTATGTGATTTATATAGGTTGCTATGTGATTTGTATATAGGTTGCTATGTGATTTATATAGGTTGCTGTGTGATTTATATAGGTTGCTATGTGATTTATATAGGTTGCTGTGTAATTTGCGTAGGTTGCTATGTAATTTGTGTAGGTTGCTATGTAATTTATATAGGTTGCTATGTTATATATAAAAGTTGCTAATAAATATAATTATATATTGGTTGCTATGTTATATATAAAAGATGCTATGTTATATATAAAGGATGTTATGTTAGATATATATAAACTGCTGTGTAATTTGTATATATATAAATATATAATTTAATTCAGTTTATCATATAGGGTTTATAAATTACTGTGATGTAAAACTAAGCATTAAATATTACATATATTACATGACCATTAGAATTTTCTACAACTAACAGAGAGCATATACCAAGGTTTTGTTCACATCCTAAGCAATAGAAGACACCTCTAAAATACATCCCAAAACCAAAGCCTAAGTAATGTTGGATTTCAATATTTCCTATGTAACTATTGAATAAATGTATAAAGAGAAGTAATTTGACAGTGTTGTCTGAAAGTAATATAGAGTTATATATTGTAAAGATGTATATAC